CGTGTGCTCTTCCGATCTGATTGTTAAAAAATTTGTTAAAAAGTTTATTGTTAAATAAACAATGGAAAACAAAACTTTTTGGAATCTTTATTTTTTTCCGTAAACTAGAACATTTTTAGCGTATTTAAAAAAAAGTTAGCTAGCATTATTAGTAACAGAGTTATGAATTTTTAAGAATAAAGTAGTTTAATTTTTAATTGTTTTACATCTCGATTAATTTTGCAATAAAAAAATCCTTTGGCACAAAATTTTATCTCCCAGAGTACTATTTATGTGCAAAATTAAAAAATTTCTGAGAGATGACTAATTCGCTTCACGTAGAATAGCCCATATATATGTATATGTTTACTCGCAATTTTTCTCTATACATCTTAATTTATATCGAAAAATTTAAACAATGTACATATAATAATATTTCAAATAATTCTAATATAATGTTTATAAAACTTATATAACTAAATATAAAATAAAATAAAATGATAACGCCGTTATCATTATTAATACCTATTATTTTGTTCAATGACAAAATATGTAAATGAAAAGTTAAGTATATTTAAGCGTATAGATAATGGACGTTCTTATTGTGCAAATTATAATCAATATTAATCAATTATATCAAATTTGCGTTAATTTATTATTATATCATTTCTGTTTATAACTTTGCATTGCAGCTAAGGATCAGCTGAATGTTATACAAGCTGCGATGAACGAATATCATAATAAAACGTGCATACGATTTAAAGAGAGGACAAACGAAAAAGATTATGTAAACATTGTAAACAATCGTACTGGATGCTCTAGTCCTATTGGCAGACAAGGCGGTGAACAATTAGTGAACTTCCAGACTCCTAATTGTCTAAATGTAAATAGGACGGGTATTGCGACACATGAGTTTATGCACACCCTCGGCTTTTGGCACGAGCACTCCAGAGAAGACCGAGATGGTTACGTGGATATCAATACCAATAATATTCAAAAAGGTATGCAGTTGTAATCTGTATAACGTTCAAATAAGAATTAATTTGTTTAATTAAAATGTAAATATTTAATCGAAGCGCATTTTGTTTCTTTATTTAAGATGTCAACTAATTTTGTAATGTATTAATTAAATTAAATAACATCTTACATCTTTTGAGCCGACAATTTTCTTCTATCTGCCTTTTATTTGCATTTTGATTTTA